ACCTTTGGGTGTTCCTTCCAACTTTAGTGACCTATAGAAAACATGACGGAGTGGACTGGATGACCTTTAGGAGACCTACCTCTGGAGGCTTCAAAAGCCTCCAGAGGCCATCTGCTGAGAGGGTTTGGATTGTGTCTTCCTGCCTAACAGAAGGAAGATGGAGTGGATGACCATTAGGTGTTCCTTCCAACTTTAGTGACCTATAGAGAACATGACGGAGTGGACTGGATGACCTTTAGGGGAGGCTTTTGAAGCAGAGGCTGGATGGCCATCTGTCGGGAGTGGTTCGATGGTGTGTTCCCACCTGGAGGTTGGAATGGAAAGCCTTTCCATGCATAAAGGAGCCCAACTAAGGGATGCAACTCTAAATATGATGCTTTTAAGGGTTGGAAGCCAGGGCTGGGTAGGTGGGGCTGGGGGAAAAAAGCAGTGGGTGGGTCTCTTCCTTGAAAAGGTGGGGTGCGAGTAGACTTTAGTGGGGTCACTTGCTTGGCTTCATAAGAGACCTAAGGAAGATGAAGAAGGGGCCCAAGGCAGAGGTGTGGCTGGGGTCCTCCTCGGAAAGGATGCAGGAAAGAGGTGGGTTGCCATGGCAACGGGAGGAAGGAATGGGCAGAAGGGGATGGAGAGCCAAGGTGTGAGGAGCGGAGGGAGGGAGGGAGGGAGGGGGGAAAAGGAGGGAGGGGAGAGAGGGAGGAGGTGGGTGTGAAGCCGGCGGCAGTGGCTACAGGTGGATGGGGGACGAGGGTCTCGGGGCATGGCCGGAAGGATGCCCAACTGCAGCATCCTCTACGACACCTCCTTGCTCCTCCAGTTCTGCAATGGTGAGTGGGAGTGGCGGGCATTCGGGGCTTCATCCGCTGGACCCCAAGGGGGCTGCCTTACCTTGGGGAGAACATCCACGCCCCATCCTTCATCCTCCCACCAGCATCTCATCCATGGCAAATATATATATATATATATATAATGAATATTCATAGATAGATAGATAGAGATATATACATATACTCACAAGGACTAGCAACCCAAATGACACTGCTGCAAAATTTAATTGCTAAAATACCAAGGTCAAAATAATCTGAATTTAAGCTATTCAGCCAGAAATGGAAAAGAAGAGCACAAGATCATATATGTATGTGTGTGTGTGTGTATACACACACATACACACACACACACACAAACACACATTATATATATATATACACACACACACAAATACATACACACTCACATATATAAAAACACATATATACACACATATATATAAACACATACACACATATATAGATTGCATCTCAAATACATACACACATTTCTACACATACACATACATATATATATATACACACATATACACACACAACACATACACATGCACAAACATATATACATACATACACACATACCCATATTATATATATATACACGCACATATATAAACACATACACACATGCACACACATATATTGATTGCATCTCAAATACATACACACATTTATACATATGCACATACATATATAGACACACATATACACACACAACATGCATATATACACACATACATACACAATATATACACGCATACACATACACACATATAAACACATACACATGCACAAACATATATACATACATACACACACATATATACATACATACTCATATTATATATATACACACACATATATAAACACATACACACATACACACACATATATATATTGCATCTCAAATACATACACACATTTATACACATACACATACATATATATACACACATATACACACAACATGCATATATAAACACATACACATACATACGTATATTATATATATACACACACACATATATTATACACATACACATACATATATATACACACATATACACACACATAACAATTGCATCTCAAATACATACACACATTTATACAGATACATATATATACACATATACACACACAACATGCATATACGTATAAACACATACACGCATACATACACATATTATATACACACACACACATATATAAATACACACACACATATACACACACACATATATACATTACCTCTCAAATCTGGATCCACCCAAAGAGAGGGAGGTCCCCATTTGTGATGGGTGGAAAAAGCTGGGCAAAAACTCCAGAGATGTCTATGGGGAAGGGGTATTTTGTGGGGGCAACCATAACAACATTGGGTTCTAAGTTAGGAAAGGAGCAACAGGTTGTGGGGCTCACATTACAGACTGCGTTCTGTACATCCTCAGAGATAGTGGTGTGTGTGTGTGGATACAGATAGATAGATAGATAGATAGATAGATAGATAGATAGATAGATAGATAGATAGATAGATAGATAGATAGATGGAGCTGAGTTCGGGTTTGGCGCCAGTTCAGAATCACCTTCGGCAGATTCTGAGAGTGACAATCCAAAGGAGATTCTTTCCGGGGTCAGATCTGCATTAGCATCCAAGATCAGACAGGATCTTTAGAGTACTTAGGCCTGACTCTCCTTGGATACCAGGCTGCCTGACCTATTATACTTGCCTGTGTTCTTTGGCGGACTCCCATCCAAGCTCTAACCAGAGTTAACCCTGCTTAGCATCCAAGATGATATAGAATCTAGCACCTTTTCTCAGTGATGCAGTTATTGGATACTAGACTGCCTGCCCTATTATACTTGACTGATGTTCCTTGGCGGACTCCCACCCAAGTCCTAACCAGGGCAGACCCTGCTTAGCATCCAAGATAATATACACACAATATAGGGTCTACACATCTTTAAGGGTGTATAGACTCTTCTCACCATGATGCTATCTTTGGATACCAGGCTTTCTTACCTTGGATACCAGGCTGTCTGTCCTATCACATTTGCCTGGTGTTCTTTTGCAAACTCCATCCAAGTCCTAATCAGGACTAACCCTGTTTAGCATCTGAGATTATACAGAATCTAGCATCTTCAGAGTGTTTAGACCATTTTCTCCATGATGAAATCCTTGTATATCAGACTGGGCAACCTATTATATTTGCCTGGTATTCCTTGGTGGATTCCCATCCAAGTCCTAACCAGGGCTGACCTTGCTTAGCATCCAAGATAATATACTTTCGGGAGTTAAGACCCTTTTCTCAATGATCCCATGCTTCCCAACCTATTATACCTGTCTAGTGCTACTTGGTGGACTCCCATCCAAGTCCTAACCAGGGGTGTCCCTGCTTAGCATCCACGATAATATAGACACAGTATAGGGTCTATATGATGCTGTATTTGGAAACCAGGCTGTCCAACCTATTACACTTGCCTGGCGTTCCTTGGCAGATTCCCATCCAAGTCCTCACCAGGGCTGACCCTGCTTAGCATCCAAGATAATATAGTGTGTGGATTCTCCTTCTCTCCATAATGCTGTCTTTGTATACCAGGCTGCCTATCTTATTATATTTGCCTGGTGTTTCTTGGTGGACTCCCACCCAAGTCCTCACCAGGGCTAACTGCTTGACATCCAAGATAATATAGGATGTGTAGACCCTTCTCACCATATAGGGTGTGTGGATCCTTCTTCTCACCATAATGCTGTCTTTGGGTACCAGGTTTCCCTTCTTATTATATTTTCCTGGTGTTCCTTGGCGGACTCCCATCCAACTCCTAACCAGGGCTGACCCTGCTTAGCACCCAAGATAATATAGGATGTGTAGACCCTTCTCACCATATAGGGTGTGTGGATCCTCCTTCTCTCCATAACGCTGTCTTTGGATACCAGGCTGCCCATCTTATTGTATTTGCCTGGTGTTCCTTGGCGGACTCCCACCCAAGTCCTCACCAGGGCTGACCCTGCTTAGCATCTAAGATAATATA